GTTTTGCAAAGGCGTCAGCTATATCTTGCGGGTTTATGTTTAGGGTATTCGTGGATGGGTGTTTAATTGAAGCTATTTTGGATTTCAGGCGTTTTTGTTTTATTGTTTTGGATAATAATGAGCTGGCTTTATTACCTAGTGAGTAGAATTTTGCCTTCATTTTTTGGAGATTTAGATCGTATTTATAAAGTAAGAGGGATCTTAATTTGTTTCTATCTAATGTAAGAGAGGAAGAGATTGAAGGATCTGGGGATTTGTTTTTTTCTTAATTTGTTTTCATTGAGGCGAGGAGTTCATCTATTTGTTGGGTTCTATTTTTAGTAATGCGGGTGTTTAGTTTATCAAAATACCTCTCATGCATGGTTTATAAGTAGACTATAGAATGGGTATGGATATATCAGGTGTATCGTTAAGTTCAAATAATGTATTGTGTTCATCTAGTATTTGTTGATTGTAGTCTCGGTTTTTCAATAGAGTTACGTTCAGTTGCCACATATTCGGGGTATCGACGCATGTTGTTTGCGATCAAGAGAGATAGTGATTGGAGCATGGTCTGACCATGTAATGGTGCCAATCTTGGAGGAGGTGACGTGTTGTAAAGTCCATTTATCGGTGATGAAGAAATCGATTGTGGAATAGGATAAATGGGATGGAGAGTAGTAGGTATAGTCCTTTTCTGTGCTGTGTTGACATCTCCAGATGTCGTAGAGATTGTTGGAATGGAGGAATTGGTTGAAGGACTGTTTTGAAGATCTTTTGTTGGATGAGGAGTCTAGAAGTGGATTACCGATAATGTTAAAGTCTCTGCCGATGAGTAGTCATATGACCACTGATTGCTGAGTTCTCACAGCCACTCTGAGCAGAGAGTGGGACTGTCAGTCACCACTGTCTGCTCTCCCCCCCTGCACTTACTGGAGCGCTGGGCTGTGGGAAGGGGTGGGAGCAGGTGGCTCAGGCTCTCAACGGCCTACTGAGATGCCGAGCCAGGTGCCGCTCCAGACTCTGGATCAGTGTCAGAATCTTTCCCCAGCCTGGATCGGCTGACAGCCAGATTCAGCCGGTTGTCAGCTGAAAACGGGTCACAGGAGTGCAGAACGAACTGCACTCCTGTATTCCACATGAGACGTACAGCCAAAAGAACTTTGGCTTTGCTTTTTAAGAATTGTTTTGGTTTTGAATGGGAAATCGTACAGAATGTGTAATGCGTGAGAAAGTGGCAAGAAATGACTGTAGTTGGCATCAGATGCATCTTGAAATATTCTCTTGTATGGCTGTGGGTGTATTTATAGATTATTTTGTACATTCGCATCTGAAATGGGTCCGCATACTTTTTTTTAACACACCATATATCTTCGCTTTTTTCCTCAGTGTATTTTTAGGGATGTAAATTAGTCCACAGTATGTTTATTCCTCCAAATACCTCGTTTGCTTGAAGGATAGCGCATCAGTATTTTTCATTACTCCTTTCTAGTACAATGTTTGTACTTTGCATCTTGTTGCCTTTTGTACTTTTCAGCTATCTACTTTGTGTCTTTTTGCACTTTACGGTGACTGGGCAGTATATAATATACAGGACAGAATTTGTATGACTATCTCCATGTAGTCCTCTAGAAACAGTATTTATTTTTTAGTTATATGTATGAATGTTCTATTTTGCACCTGGTAAATGTTGGGGGGGAGGGTATGTGTGTGACCCTGAAATGCAGTCTCTTCATTTACAATTTCAGTGGATTAGTGATGATTATCCAAGAGTGAAACACGTGATTTGATAATGTGCCTTTTATGTATGTGATAGGCTGTCTTCATGGTTATCGCCTATGATATGGCTGATGAAAGCACTTC